CAATTTTTCTCTTGTCTCTTATCACGAGAAGCATGGTTCAGAGATAGTCGGAAGGGTAACCAAATTCTATGGTTTCACAGACACTCTGCATTCCTGCAGTGGGAGGTAGGGACAGGGGGAGGACGGAAGGCTTTGTTCTCAGTCTTCCTGAAACTTCTCCTTCGAGGGTGCGTCCATCAATTGTCACCACACATTGCCGCCACGACTGCCCACCATGGGGCCAAGAGCAGCCGACGAGATGATTATACCTTGAAGCCGCTTCAAGATCCTTTATCAAAAGAGGGCTGGCTGTTTAAATTCCAGTGGAGCTTTTATTCTGGCATCTTCTTCTTTAAACACACGTTCCATCTATTCCTAGCGCTCCCACCGGCTCACTGTGTGGCTTGGGGTGAAACACGTGAGCTTCCCGAGAGGCAGCCCCTCTGCATGCCAGTGTCTGCTGCAAGTTTGTTGCAAGTGTTCTTTAAGTCATGGCCATTATTTTCCTTCATGTATATTTGGATTTTTTCTTTCTAGCAAAAAGGATGCTACAGTTTGGAAAGCAGAATTTTAATAAAGAAAATGAACAAGGTAAAAAATTCACTACTGTATGGAGAAAAATATTATAACCTTAAGTGAAAAAAAGTAAGCATATGGAATCTTATAGACAGCATTACTCCAATTTTAAAAATATATATGCAAATACCTTAATTATAACAAATCATACTCCTCTGTTTGCAGGCACATAAGGATCAGGAGAGAGAACTGAAATTTGCCAGTGACAGAAACAAGTCTCAAGAGAAGCTGAGAGACACTGGTCACACAGTCAGCAAGCAGGAAAGTTCAGATCTGAGTCTAGACGTTGTACTTCTGACCTTTGTACTACGTTCTTTCATAGGTAATTTAAACACCGAATCGCCACAGCAACCCTGCCAAGTATTCATTGTTATTCTCGCTTTACAGTGACAGCAGATGTGGGGCACGGTTTCACCATCTTTGAAATGGGTATGACAGGAATGTCCGCATGGCAGGGTCTGGCGCGTGACAGCTCCCAGGGCTTTGGCACTGGATGTGGAGATGGCAACAGTTATGGCAAGTGGGGCACACAGAGTCACACCACTTGTGTCTCACATGGCAGGTGAGGCGGTGGGCAGCTTAGCTGAGATCAGGGGCTGCAGAAGTGCCCAAGTCACACATAAGACCTCTTGGCTATTTTAAAATCTAGACAACAGCCACACATGAAAAACACAAACAAACCAATAAAGCTACTCCCAGTTCAGCCATACTGCGTAACTTCTGTCCCACATTTTAAAAACACTGCAACAGCATTCTTCAGGAAGCTTGGCATTCAAGTTTAATTTGAAAAGGGCTTCTTTCAGTCCAGCAAACTGGGTAAAGGGGGACACGAATGTCCTCAGGTCGTTTGAAAGGCGGTGGTGGCACACGGTGGAACCATGTGCTGAGGTTTGGGCAGAGGAAGGCTGCTCTGGGGGTGGGGCTGGACCAGCAGGCTCTGGAAGATCTGCACGGGCCAGCTAAGCCCCCGACATGCCAAGAGGAAACAATGGGTAAGGAAGACCCAGCTCCTTGGTGTCTGTGAGTAGATGCTCAGCTGCTCTGCAGACTGCAATGCCATCCGGGTTATTATTACGCTGTGGAAGGCTCTGCAGCGCTGCTGTCTGGTTGGAGAAAGGGCTTGCAGCGTGCCCAGTAAGAGCAAATGCTCACCAGGAGGAGGTGCAGTACTCAAGGTGCGCAAGACCCTGTGCCAGGGCTCATCTTAGGGTCGAATGCGGGCTGAACCACTGTGCCTACCGAGAGTGCGACTTCACAGCTCTCTGGGCGCTAGTGTCCCTGTCTGCAGCCGGGAGGGAGCAGGAAGAAGGAGCCGGGCAGGTTTCTCCAATGGCCCATGGAGTCCTGTTATTTAACTATGCCCATTCCTTTTCCACGCCCCCAACTCGTTCCAACCAACCACTCAGCGTGGTGGTACCACTGCTTCCTTCCACCCTGACTTACTCATCTGCGATTATGCTGCATCCTGGTCACGACTGAAACAAAGGCTCTTAGTTCATTCTGCTTCCACTGCATGTAGTCATGTGGATGACACTTCCTTCCAAGTGCCTGTGAGCTTCCGGTGGAGCGACTGGGCCATCTCAAGGATCTCTACATGCCGTCCTGGAGGAGCACAGTGCCTCGCTGACAGCAGGGGCCCCTCGCGTGTGCCGGCCTGAACTGACACGGCCCAGGGTCGTGCTCTGCACAGAGCCTGCCCGAGCTCTCCCTCTGCTCCGGCCGGATGTGCTTAGGGAAATCCCGGCAGGGATATGGAAGCTGGTGGAGATGGGCCTTCCCCCTCGGTCCTATGGTTACTTCTTCTGCAAGCAGGAACCTTAGTACTTCGGTTTGTGCCCGCCCCGCCATGGCTAGAAAGCCAGTGAACTGAGAGGGTCTTGCAGTGAGGAGCTGCCTCAGTTCCCAGTTGAGGAATGCCAGTGGACAGCTGTCCTGCCCAGGTGGCCATGTCTGCAATTGTGGTGGCCCACGGCAAGGCCCCCGGGAGGTGACATTGATGGAATGGGAGCCCTTCTATCACAACTCCCCTGTCTTGTAATTACCAGCGGTGTCTCTCTCCCCGTAGATAATGAACTTTGCAAGGGCAGGAACCCTGTTCTATTTATTTCTGAAGCCTTTGTGACCAGGACAGTGCCCAATGTGGTGCATACTATCAGTTATTTGTCAAGCAAGCGAGTCAACTCATATCAGTGTTCGTATAGCTTTGCTAAAAATACGTACAAGCTCATTTTGGTCCATAACATACTCAAAAAACACAAGAGATACATTCTCGCACAGCTGGGGATTTTCTGATTGTTCATTTGCACTTTCTGCTGGCTCATCTCTCAGAGCAGCCGGAGGAGGCTCTGTTCCCCAGGGACTGGATCAATTCCATTTCCTATGACAAGTTCTTCTTTCCACAAGCAGTGAGGCTTTGGGCTACTGTATGCTCGGCCTCCCATAAACACTAGTGCTTTCTAACACCCGCAGAGTTGGCGCTGAGGTGTGGCCCAGAGGTTACACTGATACTGCATTTTATGGGCAGCATGAAAGAACCTGCCTCGAAACCTGTCTCTGCATGTGTGGGGAGGGAGTGTGCTTTTCCTCCATATTTCCCAAAGATGCTCAGTTCTTGTGCTACCCAGATGTTCAGCAGCTGTTTGAGGCTTTGGCCAAGATCCTGGCTGCTTGAGAAGGGAATGGCTTCTCTCCTTCTCTTCTACGCCATGCCTGTTCCTGCCTGTCACCGAAACAGTGCCCACACAGGCTAAGGGAAGGGGCCGCTGAGGAAACCACGCAGGTAACGAGGGCTAACATCTCTGTCCTATGAGGCACAGACAAAATTGCTCTTTATCTGGCCCACAGAGAGGGATCTGGAGCCCTTCCTCGCTTCACCCCATCTTCCCTTGTGAGGATCTTTTAGAACAGAAAACCCACTGCTTTGCAGGAAACTTCTTCCTAGTCAAGTGTCACCTTTCCAGGAAAGTTCTCTGACTGCCACAGCAAGCAGCATGTGACCCTTGCATAAGCACTTACTACAGGCTGTGAACACTCAACCCTGGGGTTTCTCCCACATATGGGCTCCCAGAGTGCAGGCATAGGATTCGAGCATCTCTAGGCCTGGCATAATGCCTAGTCCCATAATAGAAGCTCTGGATACTATGCAGCACAGGGATTAATGAACCCCCAAATTTCAGACTGATTAAGAGACATTTTAACACTGCAATCGCAGAGGGGGACCGTGCCTCAGCTGTCCCTGCTGTTACCAAGGCCCCTAAGCACCTGTCCACAGCTGCCCCCTGGACCTGGGCTTTCTGCACTGGGTCCGGCTGCTGTGGCCAGCTGGCCTGAGGCAGTACGTGGGAGGACTGCAGCAGAGTGGCTTGCACAGAGACCAGGGCTCTAGATTGGCCCTTGCCAGGCTGCCAGAGATGGCTCAATGCAAGGCTGTGCTGCCGGCCTTTTCTCATGGTGCTCTGGGATTTCTGGAACCTTCTAGGTAGAAAGTTTCCAAAGGCCGGATGCTGAGTTCTATCTTGCTGACATTCCACTTGACACAGTGTGCCAGAAACGTGCATCAACGTGTGTGGGGGAGGCCAGCTGCGGGGCCATTATGAGAAAAAGAAGGGCAAGCTGCTTTGATTTTTTTTTTAATATCTCCATCTTTTTATTCTCCTAATAACTGCCCTGAGATTGGTGAAATCAGGCATCTTCCAGGTGGGAAAGTAGAACACGCTGCAGCTGTATTTATGCCAGCTTACGTAACAGAAATAAGGAGGCCCATTCTATGACTTACACAAGCTCTGGATGGTCCCTGTGGTCCAGCTGCCTCAATTCCTAAGTGTGGACAGTGGAACACAGGGACCTCATGGAGCCTGCCTGAGGACGCATGGGGAGTCCAAGCAAGGCAGAATCAGAACCCAGGTCTCTATCTACTAGACTAGCCCCTCTGTCATTCTGAACTTCTAGCACTTGAAAAAAATTCAAAGCAAAGGCAAATACATTATAAATCCACAGGAACAGAGTGTGGAGCTAAAGGTGTCCTTTGGTATGCTTGGACATACTTGTGACCACAATTAGAAGAGAAGGGACCTTACCCAAGGTAGCTGAACTTCCACCTGTGGAGAAGCATCCAGTGTCCCCACCACGAGTGCTTCTGGGACACAGAACGGTCTCTTCTTATTCACCTGCAACAAGGGGGACCCATACCTTTCCCAGGCAACTCATTCCACTGTGGAATTATGTGAAAACTCTTATTCATACCAGCTACTAGACGTCACTGAACTTTATTAACATTATGTAATTCAAATGGATACAAAAGGAACTAGTGTGCACTGCCACCCTCAGCCTTACACACATACTTGTGTGTGCCCTGTAGGGCCCTAACAGGACGGCTGGTGCTGACAGCTGCTGGCTCACAACCGCTCACCCTGCACTCTGGGCCTGCCGTCCTTGGAGCTGCCTACCTCCGTCATTGTCTTTGCTGTCTCCACAGGCGGTTTCCATCGCAGTGTCACAGCCAGCTCCTCTCCAGCCCAGGTGGCAGACGCACTGCCACCCATTCAGGTCCAATGTGCACTTGCCGTTACCGTTGCACAACCCAGGGCAGCCCTCTGCAAGACAAAGGTTCCACGTCAGGGTCCGGCTGCTTGGCGACCGCCGTCACACACACACTCATGCTGCGTCTGCCCTCATGCGGAGTGCTCGCACCTGTCAGCACACTGATGCCACAGCCCCAGGAGGTGCAGAGGACAATGGACTCGGGGGACAGGACTGGCCACGGGTGCTGTCAGATGGGGCAGGGGCTGGCATGGAGCCCTGCTGAGTGCACCCACAGCAGTGACCTTCACCAGCGATCACGCTGCTGGAGATGCGGTCAGGATGAGGCCGCTAGACTGACCCTGGAGTGTCTTCCTGGTCTCTCTCCCCGTCACGCACCTGTACTCCCGCTTTCCCAGTGGCTGCCTGTCTGGAACAAAGCAAACATCTTCCTGCCTACTTCTCCTGTCCATCAGCGCTTCTACCCCTTGCTCTAAAGGATTTTGCCTGTTTCAACTTTTGCTGCTAGGTCAATTTTATTGACCTCAGGGCTTTTCTTGATTTTGTTGCAATTTCTCCCTGGGCTGTCTTCTCTTCGAGGGAGAGCATGTGGGTCTTTTCCTTGCCAACGTATTTATACATTGTGCTCTGGAGAGGGCTCTGCACCTGGAGGAGCACCAAGGACTGCTGAGAGACAGGCTCACGTGCCGTCTGTGCACGCAGGTGCAGCTCTGGGCAGGCTGCTCTGCTTTTCCCTCTGCCTGCCGGAGCTCACCACGCACTTCCCTGGTCAGGAGCTGGAGGCACAGAGTGAGTGAGACCCAGTTCTTGCATCTGAGGAGCGAGTAGCTTACCAAAGACACACATCTGTGCAAGCCAGAAACTCACCACTAAGGCACAGGAAGAAGGCACGTGGGAACCTACCACAGCGGTGCCCCGCTGAGAGGCTGCGATGACCTAGGCCAGCAAAGCCAGGCATAGCTGGACTCCGCCTTGGTTCTGCATGGGCCCTGCGGTGAGGTGGAGGTTTCTACGCCTACCGACATAGGTTTATGGGTTTTAGGTCATCTTTTCGAACCGCTCTGCTTGTGGCTCAGAAGTCTGCCTGACAGTATGCCAGTTTCACAGGTCATCTCAGTTTCACTTTGCTGTCTGGTTTTCATTCAAGTCCTCATTTGAACAGCTCTGGCCACTCCCTTCTCCAGACGGTCATCAGAGGACAGCTGTCCCCTCTCGCTGCCCTTGCCCAGTCTCAGGGAAAGGTAAGGACCTGAGAGCACTCTCAGTTAGAAAACCCAGCGTGTTTTAGTATTCTAAGCAGCAAACAGCTGAATATGATCGCAAACTGAGCTTTCTGCCACAAAATAAGGGGAAATTGGCCCATCACTGTCACATAGGGCAACACATGTACAAATGGCTGTGAGCATCAGACCGGCCCAAGGCATGCGCCCTGAGCGCACAGGCCAGCAGACTTCAGTGTTCTAGCACTTGGGCAGGGTCACTCCAACAGAAAAGAACACGTTCACTTCTAGCTGAGGTGGTCACACAGCAATCAGGGAACACGTCTGGCCACTGTGTTTTCCATTCAAAGGAAGGACCAGCTTTGAGCAGACAGTCCAAGCCAGGAGGGGTGCTGTGGAGGCTCAGGAGGAAGTACAGAAGGGGTGGCCTTTGCACAGTGAGAGTTACTGGGAAGTGGGAAAGCCACCAGCACGGCCACCTCTAATAAAGCTGGGCCCCAGGCATAATACTGTGACCCACAGGTGACTACAGACACTGACTTGGCAGCCAGCATAGACCCCACCAATAGACCTCACTTCAACTTTTATGCATCTGGCTGGGGACAGCTTTCAACTAGGTCCTATTTATACCTGGAATGAGTTCTGGAGGCATTTTTAAGAACGTTAGTTGACCGCTCTGTTTTCCTTTAAGCCCTACAAGACTAAAATAATATTTTCTCTTAAGAGCCCAAGCTTGGGAGCCATATCCACAGCTCGCCTAGCACTCAGGGGCTGAGTGGTACAGGCCCAATGCCACAATTCATCAGGCCCCAGCCTTTCACGGCACGGGGCTCTGAGAGGCTAAAAGAGATGAGGGATGAGGGGTGCACAAAGCCCGCCATGCAGCTAGTGTACAGCGCCTGAGTGTTCCACCTTCTACTGGGGGCAGAGGGCATGTGACACTCCAAGCTGTCACCTTACCCCGAGTAGGCCAGGCAGGTGCTAAGCTGCTGAGCTATATCCCTGGCCCTCTTACTCTGATTTAGGGCTCACAGAACAGCAAACTAGGTGAACTAAGGCACTGAGGGAACTGACTCTATCAGGGTCGGCCACCTTGTTCTGGGAAGGCCCAGCTAGCCAGGGTTTAGGCTGGTGGCTACAGGAATCTGATGTGGCTTCCAACTCTGCTCCTGCAGCTTAGGCGCAGCCACACATGCTGCAGATGCATAAACACTGTCCTATTTCAATGTAATTTTATTTACAAAAATAGGTGATGGGCTTGATTTGGTCTGTGGGCTGTAATCTGACAATTTTTCACGATAGTGATGACAATGACAGCTGTCATATTCTCACGGTCCAGCATGGACTGGCTATGGTGTGAGGAACTTTGCACTGAATTATGTCTAAAATAAGTTTAAAAAAATTAAGACCCTGCTCCAATTTCACATCATTTAATGTTTTTTAAAAATACAAGTGACATGTAGTAGTGGGGACTTCGGAATTGGATAAGCCTCAATTTTAACTCCAGTGCCACCATTTAGTTCCTACTGATGTGACCGGCACGCTAACTCTAGGCTTATGTAACTATACATACAGCTGTTGAGAGGACTGAGTGAAATCACATATGCCCACAATTTAGCGAACTGGGGATCCCAAGTAGGCAGCTACTGTTAGATCTGTTGTAACTTTGTACAGTTTCATTAAGAAATTCACAAACCAGAGAACAATCCTTTGTGCAATTCTGTCAATGTTTGGGTCAGAAGCTAGGGTGCTCATAAGGAGAGGAGGCAACCTCATGGCCTGGTCCTGGGGTGCAGGGCCACAGGCACCTGAGGGAGGGGCGGGCCCCAAGTCCCAGGTGGGGTCCCCATGCATGCTGCCGGCATACCGTCCCTCAGACAGCAGCTGCGCTGAGCGTAATGGAGAGATCAACTCTGCAGCTAACAGAATGTCTGACTCCCTCCTTGGAATGTGAAGCCCAGACGGGCGAGCTGGGGGAAGGCACTCAGCGTGTACTAGCTGAAACGGATCAACAGATGAGCAGAACCAGGTTCTCACGCCTGCTGCCTGAACTGCAGGGGTTGGGGAAGGTTCCTTTCCTTCTTTTGGCCTCGGTTGCCCACTCGTGAGAGTTTGGATGGGATTGCGTACTGTGTCCCTTCGGCACAGCTCGCCTAGGAGAGGCTCAGAACAGCAGGTTCAGTGACTGTCCTTCGACTCCAGGAGGAGATGAGCGGTGCTCCAGTCAAGCTTTTTCTGTTCTGCTTACCTGTAAGCTACTTTGTCCTAGAGAGGTTTAGGTTGGATCTTAGCCTCTCAATGCTTACAGTGAACTTCGTGAAATGCTAATTCTAAGAGATCCTCAAAGCAACAAACCAAACACCCTAAAACCCTTCCATGGTAAATAAGTTGGGAAAACACTGCAGCCCATACTCTTGCCCTAGAAAGTCAGATCTAATGTCAATATATTTATTAACGAAATCTGCTTATTTGCTTATCAGAGCATTTTCCAATCTGACTGTGGAAGCCCTCCCACTCTGCCGACCCTAGAAGGTTCTATTCCATGACACTGCTACGGCTGCTCTTGCCTCTCGCAGTGGTGGTGAAGCTGCGGCCCGAGGGCTGCGCTGGGCTGCCTCTGACCACTGGAGGCTCTAGACTCTGCCATCATGGCCTGGTGCTTGCGCTCTGCGCTGCTCAAGGCTTCCTGGGAGGCATCTGCTCCCAGGAAGGACGCTGCACCACGGAGCAGCAGGGACGCTTTAGCTAGTGCCCTTTTCTTCAAACGGACCAGGTTACACCTGTCAGAGGGACCTCAGGGGACCTGGGCGTGGGATGAGGTTTGTCCCCGCCCAGCAGTTTGCTCTGGAATAATCAGACCCCCATGAGGCAGCCAGAGGAAGCCTCCTCGGGGTGACCTGCTGACTTTCTGAGAGCAACGTGCCCACCCTTCCCCACGGTGGAAGCTCATTAATTCCACAAGCCCTGACGCTCATCAATAATTCAGACCCAAGTGACATTAACAATCCCTTCTGGAAGGGCTTGCACCAGGCATTGGCTGGAGCCAAAATAATGTAGTTTTAAGGTTTAGAGAAGGGCTAAGCTTTTCAAAAGAAGCGGCGCCCTTTAAATGACAAGGGACTGCTTTATCTTCAGGTCTGCCTAAGCCTGTGAAGAAGCCCCTTGCAGCTAGCATCAGGTGTGGCCGGACGAAGCTCAGGCTCCTTGAAGGAATGAGTTCTCAGTTAAGTAGCAAGAGGCCATTGTTGTACATCTGTCGTGTAGCAGATGCCTCTTTTTAGGTCTTCCTTTCTGTCTCGCAGAACTTGTTAATCGCTGTGTTCATTTCTCTACACAAAGCTGCCATCTTTTCTTACTGAGATGACTGCTGTCACTTCCTAATTGGCCTTTTTGTCCTCAAACTCCCCATCAGCTTTTCTTTCACAATAAGGCCAGATATTCTTCCAAATCACAAATCTATGCCACTGGCTTCTAAAATCTTTCACTGGCTCTGTTAAACCTATGTTGAATTTCGCAGTCTGAAAGCCTCTTGCTAACCTGGTAGTGGCCTCCTTCCTGATAGCCCCTGGATTTCCTCTATCATCTTCATCATTAAACGTGGTTAAAATTATTTCAGTGTCTTTCCTGTTAAACCGCAGCACTCTAAGAGCAGGGGCCATTTCTACTGCATCACACCCACATTTCCTGGCACTTAAGGGGTTCCATATACTTGTGTGAATATTTATTTTCTTTGTCTATACTAATACAAGTGGAAAGAGAGAATGAAAGCTGGCGTTTCTTTGGACAAGCTCTCTAACAGGTCCCAGGCTTGCATGGTGCAGAGCTCTGAGTTC